ACCTGGTGAAGAATGGATGAGAGCCCTCCAGATGAAGCACATGAAGATAACGAAAGGCAAGGAGGAGCAAAGAGAAAGACACTGAGGTTGAAGGGCATTGGTGAGACAGCGTGAGAGGGGCATCAGAATTGGTAGTACAGAATATGAATTTCACATTGGATCGTATGGGAAAAAATAAACCTTTCACATCATGGGAGCAAAGCAGTCCAGTTTATGTGTCTTAGAAGAATGTGATGCATACTGCATGGAGAAGGGATTGGAAAAGAACAAGACGAAGTATGGGGCCAAAAGAAAACTATTTAATAAAGGCAGGGAATGGTAGTACTTGCTTTAGAATGTTTTGATGGATGTAGACAGAATTACATAGAATCAAGATAAAAATCTAAGAAGGCTTTGAGATGGCCTAGCTTTTGGAAGATGAGGACTAAGCAGCCAATTTTTACAGTTTTCTCATTAATTATTGATAGATACCAATTTACTTCTTGGAAAAGAATCATGGAAGAAAGATCTGATGCCAGGAGAAATTTTCAGCTGTGACAGTGGACCATTCAAGAGGATGTGGGAAGTAAAATTTCATTCCTGGCAAACTTAGAGAGGTCAGATTGGCAGTGTAAACCTTGAACTTGCCATAATCACAGTCAGAAGCCACAGGAAGCAAAAGCTACTTATCTGGAACTATAGAAGATGATGACAAAGGTTCCAAATATTAACAGAGAAAGGAATAAAAACAACACAATCAAAAGGAGTGAAAAGGAAAAACAAATGAGTATAACATAACAGAAATGGAAGAGAGACTGGCAAAGACCACTGGATGATCCAAAAGTTCTAACAAAATATGAACTTGAATGCTCATTATATTTGGTACCTGGTGGATTGGTGAATTTGGGACCCAAAATGACTTTTTTTGGTGAAGATATGTAAGTCGAACAATCAGGTTGGAGCAGATTGGATCATATAAATGAGACAAGGGACTACAAAAATAGTATTGTAGATAATACTTTCTGAAAGTTTTGCTGAAAAAGAAGGAATAGAAATATGACTGGACTGCACTTAAAGATAGCCATGAAGTCAGGAGAGTGAGCAACTACCTGTGAATCTATCCAGAATGTGAAATCCATTGCAAGCTGGTGTCTGTCTTAACCTAGAGTCTCCAAATGCCTGAGCAAGGGCATGCATGCAAGTGGTTTATGTCTACATACAAACTCAGAGAAAGGATATGGATGACTAAAAGGAAAGAAATGGAGAAAGGATAAAAACTAAATCAAGAATATATTATCATGGCCAGGCTTGGTGGTATAGGTCTATGTTCCCAGATACTCAGAGGGCTAAGGTAGCTTCAAAGGCCTTTCTGGACTACAACCTAAGTTCAAAGTCAGCCTGAGCAACTTAGAGACAATGCCTCAAAATAAAAAGAGAAAAAACATGCAGGGCTAAACCAAGTGATAAGGCTACCACATAGGATTCATGAGGCCCTAAGTTGGTCAAGCCCAAGTACTATAAAGGGGTGAGGGGATGCATTCTCAAACCCTGTATTCCAAACATATGTGCTATAGTATACTACCAGACAGTCGGAGCTCAGTAATGCTACAGTCCTTTAAGATATAATGTAAAATATATTAAGAATCGTTCACAGATGAAACAGATGAGTAGAGTGCCACACCAACCAGGAATTGTCCACTTCAGTGTTAACTCCCATGCATTTCTGGACTTGTCAAGGCCTCAGAATGGCTTAACAGGATTTGAAAAATGCCAGCCTTAAAAGCAGCATTGAAGTCCAGGACAGAAAATGAAAGCCCATTCAGTACAGCTGAGGCAAGCATCTGCCACATTAAATCTAACAGCAGCCTATTGCCATGGCAACTGATAGAGTAAAAGTTGAGCCAAGAGGAGGTGAAACAGCAAAGCATTGCTTGATAGAATTCCTACCTTGCTGACCACAGTCCACACTTTCTAGTCTGGAGAGATCAACTGGCTTGTGTCTAGTTCATGTCAGAGGTGACATGTAGACTCTCATGGCTACTGGCCTCCAGACCTTCCTGCTTCTGCTTAAGACTAATTACCCCAGACAGCAGGGATACCTGACAAGCAAATTAGCCAAATTAGAGTTTTGATACAGTCCTGGTGACAGAAAAAAGAAATGTTGTCGAAACATCAAGCAATTATCCCAGTATTTTATGAGAACATGCTGCATTGCAGACCTATGCGTAGAAGAAGATTGTCAGAAACTATTACCTATGGCGACCGCTGTGATGTCTCATTAGGAGAATACTGGAAGAACGCCGTGGGACGAGATCTAAAGATAGAGAGGGCTAGATCTGCTATATAGGGCTGTGTGGAATTGTGGGTCTCTTAGGGTACTGCAGTGCTACTGGCATCACTGAGAAGAATCTCAGGGGTTCATGGAGAGCAACGATGAAAATTATTTTGGTAGACACTTCCGATTTCAAATACCAGCAGAAGTTAACACTGGGTCATAAGGTGACTTTTATTTTCTTCTGTAAATGTCTCTCTATATTTTTCATATGCCTCATATTAAGTAAATGTATTACTTTGGTATGAAAAGAATATGTATAGTTTTCAGATAACCAAAGTATATAAAGCAACTAGTATTCTCACACATTGCTGGTGAATATAAAATGGTATACCTGTTTTTAAAAATGCTAAACTGCTTTCTGTTTAAACAGATGCTGGCCATCTGACCCAGAAATCACACTCTAAGGCATTTACCCAAGAAAAAGAAGAACCTATGTTATCTCTATCTCTATCTATCTATCTATTGATCTATCTATCTGTCAGTCTGTCCATCTGTTTATCTATCTAGGTCTCTCTCTCTCCCTCTCCTCTCCCTTACCTGACAGATATCAGTCATATACTAGCATTTAAAGAACCTTTTATATGTGTGTGATACACTATATGAACATATGACCATTGATGCACTTAACCACATTTTTTCCACAAAACTGAAGCCTCAACTGGAAAATAGATAAGCACTGAAATCCTATCTAGCACCAAAAAGAAGGACGTACAGAAAAAACAACATGGGAAGGTTTCAAATGCATCATGCTGAGTGAAAATCCAGCCAGACTCAAAAGTTATGCATTCTCTGATTCTATTTTGGAAAATGTGATCTTTTAGAAAAGACAAAAGTCATAGCCACAGAAAACTGATGACTGGCTATTGGGATCTGGAGGTTAGGAAGAGGTTAAATGTGACATGAGAATAGAGGGGAACCATGGTCATGGCATTGCACTGTATCTAGGATATGGTGGTGGCCACTTTCCTCTATGTGCTTAACTTCACTCATTGACCTCAATGCCAAAATGTTCCTTTCTCCATATGGAAATCCCATAGCATCTCACCTATGCAACCCTGGCTGGCCACGAATCACAATTCTCCTGCATCAACTTTCTAAGTACTAGGATTCCAGGACTGTGCAATCATAGTCAGATTTTTTTTAAAGGGAAATTAACGTCATAACAAATCCTCTAAAAGAGTACATGAATAATCTCTTTGGTCCAGTAAAAAGCAGATCATCCTGATTTTGATGGAAGTATTCAAAAGAAAAGCTTATCAAGGTAAGTTCTCCATCCAGTGTTAGGAACCAAGTGGAAACACAGCCTCAGAGAATCACTGTAACAATCCATAGACAGGAGTTACTGACTCTATGAACATAGATACACTGAACAAAACATCAAAATCTAGTCCAGAGCTTTGACCCTTCACAACGATGTGTATATGAATAGGGTTCTTAAGGATGAAAGCAACAAAGACTAGCTGCCCTTTAGCCAAGAAACACACATTAAGAAAGTGGGAGCAGAGCTGTACTGGAAAGGCTTGGAGCATGTAACACTAGGGAAAGTCTAAAACGTGGTGTGCCTGATAGCTTTCGTGGGTCTCTAGACAGCTCAAGCCACCAGTGTAGCAGCCACTTCCTCCAGAATGTCACCCAGCTTAGTAAAGGTACAGCTGGGTACCACCACCTCACCCAGCACTCCCTATGACTCGCTTTCTACTCTGGAACGCTAGCAGCACAGGGAAAGAGATACCTATCCAAAACTCGCTGGATACTCACAAATATCTCAGATGAATGGAGGGCATTAGTAACATGCTGCTACCTTTGACCATCAGGAGATATGGATCCAGATCCCTTACTGCACACCCTTCCATCAGAGCAATAGTTCTAATGCATGTTCTGTAGATCTCCTAAATCAGGTCCTTGAGATTAAGGAATCAGCACCAGTAACAGTGGCCAAGACCATCACTCATCCTGGTGCTGACAAGCTTTCCCCTCCTCTGCTTCAGGTTCCTTGCCTCCGGTGCTCCAAACTTACAGGATCCATTACATTATTCATAGGTAGTTTTCATATTAGACTCTCAGATTCTGATTCCCAAGAAACTGAACACTGAGAAGGATCCAGGGTATATCTGCTGTTATGAGAGGAAGGGATTTTTTTAAACCATCTTCCCACTTGTGACAGAAGAAACTTGTCTCTGATCAACTGCAACCACTTTCTAGGAGGGAGTCAAACTGATGCTTCTTGGGTTACTTGTACACCCTGAAGTCAAAGAATGTGGGCTCTCACAATGTAACCCCAACATAACCTCTTTGAAAGAAGAAATGCTACTTCTTCATCAAGTATGCCAAGACTGAAAACTGGGGTAACGTGGAAAATTGTGTTTATCTTATTGTAAGTTACTTCTCAATAGAGCTAACCTATCAATGTTCAAGCATAAAATGGTATATGAATGGCAGTAGAATATCCTCACCTTGTAATAAACAATTGTAAATATCTTTGCTCCAATGAATCAACAATTGATTTGATCCTGGTTAGATTCTTAAAACATAAAACAGATAGTAAAAGTACAATTTAGATGTACTGGAGTACTCTAACAGGTTTTTCTGGCTGTATATAATTGGTATTTTGAATTTGGAAAGTCCAGGTTCTGACAGATGTTTGCTTTATGTCTCGTCACTCTCACTTTGTCTCTCCTCTCTCTAGGTTAATATCCAACACAGGCATTAAGCACCTACCAGTGGTTCATAAGATTCAGTCTCTTCAAAAGGTTCTATTGTAAGTTTTGATTGGTAGGCTGTCAATCAGCTCTCCATCTAACAAATGCCTGAGGTAATAGACTTACAAAGAGAAAAAAGGGTATCTTTGTTCACGTTACCTAGTTTCAGTAAATGGCTGGTTGGTGTCTGACCTTGGGTTTATTATGACCTTCTGGACTTCTAGCATCCATCGCATAGTACATCCTCCAAATACGTGGCTCTGGGTGAGCAGAGGGAGGAAGACGAATAGCAAGGTGGACTGACAATGCTCCATTTGTGTTGTCGGAGACTGCTTGTTCATTCCCAGCTGTCCTGACCCTAAATAATCACACAGAAACTAATTACAATACTGTTTGGTCTATAGCTTAAACATATTTATAACTAGCTCTAACATCTTAAATTAACCTGTTTCTACTAATCTGTAAATCACCAAGAGGCTGTGGCCTACCGGCAGGGCTCCATCCAACATCTGTCTCCTGTACCAGATACATGGTTTCTCCTTGATCCTCCTACTTTCAACCAGCATTCGGTTTAGTTTTCCCTGCCTAGCTCTATTCTGCCCTATCACAAGCCAAAAAAATGCTTCTTTATTCATTAACCAATAAAAGAAACACATATACAGAAGGACTTCCCACACCACATTTGAATGAAGTTAGCAGGCTCTGCACCAAGTATTATCAACAAACAAGCTTAGAATAAAATCACAGTCTCTTTACTCCAAGGCTTTAGTATTAGATCCCTACAACTCTGCATATTCCTCCATCATTTCTCCTTCCTTCTAGAGTCCCTTATTGTTCACAAAGTATTAATAGCAACTGTTTTCCCTCGTCCCATGAATCCTGTAGTTTAAAAGAGGAGGAGAGAAAGGCAATGTGTAGAGCTAAGACAGAGCTCAGTGGCAGAATATTTGTCTAGTAGGCATGAGTATCTGGACTTGATCCCCAGCACAGAAAAAAAGAAGGAAGGAGGAAGATGGAGGGACAGTGGGAAGGAAGAAAAAAGAAAGATAGGAAGGAAGGAAGGAAGGAAGGAAGGAAGGAAGGGAGAGAGGGAGGGAGGGAGGGAGGGAGGGAGGGAGGGAGGGAGGGAGGAAGGACTTTATTTCCAATAGTAAACTTGTAGATTCTGAGCAGATCCCAAAGAAAAAGGTCAGGATGGGTACAAGGAGTTGGGAACAGAGGATGAAGAGAATCCTCTAAACCTCTTGAGTTGTTTCCAGCTTTTAGCACTTCTACTGTTATATGTTCACCAGACCTAGGTCAGTCTGATGGAAGGATAAATAAAAAAAAAATGTCTTTAATGTGAGGAGTAAAAAAATCAGTAATAATTTTTTATGTGACTCAAGTAAAAATAATGGGAAAAACAATACATAAGAAAAAGAATAATTAACTCAGATAAAAGTGATTGGATTATAAGCATGAGGGCCTGATCATGACCCCCCCCCCCCCCCCCGCAACCCAACCCCCTTGCCTTTTTAAAAGCCGAGCATGTACCACCATGCTTATAGTCCCAGCACTAGGGAGAAAGAGGCAGGACATGAAATTTGCTGGCTGGTTGGTTTTTTCTACTAGTCTAGTTTGAGGCCAATGGCAGATGTGTCTCAAGAAAAAGGTGGGTGCTATCTAAGGAAATGACCTGAGATTGACCTCTGGCCTACACACATATACAAAGAAAGTACTAGAAGAATGAAAAAGGAGAAGCCAACACAAATAAAATGAGTAGAGAGGTTGGTCTGTAGGTAACAGGTCAGTTTCTGTGTCCATCCTACTGGGCAGAGTCCAACTGTAGAAACAAGGCTAAAAAGGAATATTGAAGAGAACCTCAATACAGTAACATCCTCTAAGGAATTCTCCAAAGAGAAAAGATTCTATGGGTGTGCAATTTCATCTGTGAGAAGAACAAACACACTGCAGATAAGCAGACTGTTTGTTGCCCAAACTTTGAGCTGTTATCCTCTGGACAGAAATTCCATCAAACTGTTATTGCAGCTGCAGATCCCTTGGTGCCAGCAAATGGAAAGGTTGTGTAAGTGGAGCCCACGCAAACATCTAATTTGTCTGTTCTTTCTTCTCAGAGACATTCAAGATAACATAAACATCCACACCATTGCCAGGAATTCCTTCAGGGGACTGAGTTTTGAAAGCGTGATTCTGTAAGTAAGGGGGGAAACCCAATGGTCTGGGTCTTGATTCTTCACTTATCAGTCTCTGGCTTTCTCATATCGGCCTAGGCCTTTGTTTGTATAATAACATTGGCATTTCACCATTTAAATCATTCTATGGCTCCTGTGTTTTCCTCACATTTTTATATCTCAGAATCGCAAAATGGAGTCATGTTAATAATGCATGATTCTGTATTGTGATTCAAGTATTTAAAATTGCTCTTTGAATGATGGTCCCCATGATGCAACATCTGCTCCAAAGGACAGAGTAGCTAGTGTGTCACTAAAACTGATTATTGCCTACGAAGAATGATAGGGAAGGAAGTGTATTCAGGAGATAGGACTCCTTCCTCATAATCACAGGAAGCAGCTCCCATTTGGGCCCATGCTGAGCTCACAATGACCATCATCTCTGCTCAGAATAATCACACTTGCTAATGAGCTTGAGTTAATCTGTCTGAATTCTGGGAAAGTTTTTAAATGTCCTCAGTGTCTTCAATCCTCTGTGCTAGTGGCCAGCATGGCCAGCATGGCCGTCCACCTGCTCCTCAGGATAGCCAGAAAACAAGGTGTTGTGAACCTTCCAAATGTCCACAGGATCCTTGCAACAGGACAGTGACATCTAGAGAATCACTGATTGTGATTATACTTGGAAGAAAAGAAATTCATCGTCCTGTTTTACAAATTGTTATGAGCTCATTTTATAACATGATTTCTCATGGCTTTGTTTTGGAGTAGACTCACTGTGTACAGTTTCTCCTCTCTTCACCGCTTGGTTTAGAAGCACTGTGGGATTCCTCAGAGCTCAACAACACACTTTTCAAAATGGGATGCTTTTCTCTTGAGAGTCAACACTTTTCAGACATGTCTCTGGAAGATAAATTCACACTTGTGAGAACAGCATCTATTTTCTTACGTTGTCTGCTTGTTAATCCATAGATAATAGAGTCAGAAGACTCCTACTGCACACAGCTGTAAGTCTCCAGTTGTGCTTCATCCAGATACTTGTAATACAGAGATGCTTTCTCCTAAGAGAGCCATCCAGTGCACTCGAGGAAAGTGTAAGAAAACGGTGCTGAGCACTGACAAGCTCTACCTCATACATCTTCAAAACTTTGGAACTCTTTTCTAAAGACAAATGTACATATTTATTTTTTCTAAACATCCTAAGATTTCAGGCCCTTGGTAACTGATTCAAAAAACTGAGCAATAAATGCACATTTTGTAGGGCCTTTGAGCCTTTTCTCACCCACCTGTGTCACAAAGAGCAGAGGGGCTACTGGGTAAAGTACCTAATGAATGGCTTAATTCAGGAGATGAGAGGTGAGGTTATAATTGGGACCACGGTTCCCAGCATTCTCCGGCCCCAATTCTCTGGAAAGGATTGTGTCTTTCATGTTTTCTCTCTTCCTTAACTAGCTCCCATCTATTTTGTCCATCCTTCATGAGTTTTAATGGGCAAGGCTTCATGTTTTCAAGAGAAGTCTCTCTTGAGTGTCCATATCATTTGACTCTAGGGATGACACAGGACCTAAGAAACCCTGAGGGATTTTTCTTCAGCAGGATAACTTCACAGAGGGCTGTCATTCTCATCATCATCCTAACATCATCATTATCACCAGATTTTAAAGTGGGCACTCCCTATTTTAGGAGATTTGGAACCAGGCCTAATGACACAGGCCTATATTCCCAGCTACTTAGGAGGCTAAAACAGGAAACTTGTAAATTCAAGCCTGCCTGGATTGTAGGATGAGATCAAGGCTAGCATAAACAACTTATCTAAAATTTCAAATATATGTATATTTAAGTATAAATATCTATTACCTATTTATAAATGGCTAAAGATATATACCAGAGGTAGAAAATGTGTCTAGCATGATCGAGGTCTTGGGTTCACCCCAAAAGAACCAGAGGAATAGATTAGGAATGTATTTTATAGTTGTTGGTTTCTCTGTGTTAGTAGAGTGCGACAGCCTAATAGGAAGTCAAGGGGAAAGGGTTCTGACATAACTTGATTTTGTGTGATGATGCACCACTGACATAAAATATCCTCCTGCATGTTGTGGCCTGATAATCAATAAAACAGTAAAGACAATGGGCTTCTTTGAAAATAGTAATTATTGTAGTCTATGTATTATTTCATTATACCAACATCTTTCACAGGACAATCTTGTGCAGGAAAGATTAATTATCTAATCTATAGACAAGTAGGTAATGCCTATACAGGCCTACAAAGTCCTGGGCAAAGATACAGGACCAACAACCAAAAATGCACAGGTCAAATCCAGCTTGTAGCTAAGATTGGCTTTTATAATTGACATGCAAAAAGGAAAAGCAATTTTATTTAGCTACTATATTCTGTAATTGTTCAATAAAATGTGTGCCATCACTTTGTGAGACCCTATATAAAGCAAATGTCATCTTTAACCTTGCCTTTTGGTCCGTAAAATAGAGAATGTTTGTTGACACTTGTGGTTGATGTCTAAACCCCAGGGACAAGCAAGCCACAGGTTAGAGGCTGCTCTACCAGTCATTTTCACCACAGAGGGCAGGCTGACGTATCTGCATTCTAAATGTTTCAGGGAGAGACCTTTTAGGGCAGTGACAGTAGAGAATTGGGGGTGGGGAGCAAGATGGAGTGCACAGTCACCCCCTTGTCACCAGATGCTACTTGTTGACTGCTGATTGTCGAAAAGATTTAATTTTCTTCTCTCTAGACTTCCTAGCTCACTGCATTTCAGAAAGAGGGGAGAAAAAGGCACGTGATTGTTTGCCTGTGGGCTTTTGGAAAAATGTCTTCTAGCTGCTCATCACAGCTGAAGGAGTTTCTGAAGTCCCCCTGTAGTTTCTCTCTATCAGATTTCAGAATACTGCTGCCAGGAAACCCACCAAGTCCAAGTCCAGCAGGGGAAGCTGTAAGCAGACAAGTGCACATGGCCAGAGGCTCAACAGCTGGGCTGTCCTGACCTTGGGGAGTTGTTTTTGTTTGAAAGTCCACTCAGGAGAAGAACAGGGCAGAGTTGATGGCCCACGATGGCCTGAGACACCCCTGTCCAAACATACCTGCCTCTCAGCATCTTCATACAGTGATCATGACAATGTACACCAACCCCACCTGCCCCAAAGCTCAGCTACAGCCACACACACAAACTCAACCTGCCACAGTCCGCAGTCGCTATAATTAATTTCTCTTCTTTTCTGCCTTAACCCAGAGCCACCTCCACAAACCTCCAATAACTAGGGCCCCACGGGTCACTGGAGATGTTCAGGTTGTCTGACAACTTAATTAGATCATTTTTTGATGGCAGCCAGGCCTGCTGCTGTAGGTGAAGAGCACAAATCCTTAGAGAAAGGTGACATAAAATGTCTTTTCTCTGTCTTAGAAATATTTGCTCAATAATTACAATTTCCATCCTTCAAGGCAGGGAGATCCTTGGTTTTCCTGTAGAATTTTCTCTATACCTGGGCAGAGTGTGCAAAGGTCTTATAGGTACAGTATCCAGAGAGCGTCCTTTTAAAAAACAACTAAATTCCATTCATTCATTCTTTTCTGTGAAGCTCAGTTATTCCTGTGAATAGATAATATGCAGAAATAATACAAACTTCAAAACTTACTAAAGGTTCCATAGCAATAAACCAGCCTCGGTCTCCCTTCCCTCCCACCCCTGAGCTTAAGGGTTGCATCTTATTTATGCCACTAACTGTGTTGTCTGACCTTGCCCCAGTGCTTCCAATTACAAACCCCTGCATTGGCTGCATCTGACATTATTATGTTTTTAATGGGCTTTTATTTCAGATGGCTGAATAAGAATGGGATTCAAGAAATACACAACTGTGCATTTAACGGGACCCAGTTAGATGAGCTGTAAGTAGCCCTGACTACTCTTCCAGGCCATTTAGAGGGAAATGGCTCTTACAACAGGGATATTGATGTGACTTTCTTTGTCTTATTCTTTCTCCAACTCCATCCCCAGGAATCTAAGTGATAACAATAATTTGGAAGAATTGCCTAACGATGTTTTCCAGGGAGCCTCTGGGCCAGTCATTTTGTGAGTAACTTTGTTCGTTTCCATATAGAAGAGCTCAGCTTATACAAGTTAAAAGCAAATTTTGTCCTGCTTAAATAAGGGGCGGTCAACGAGATCAATTTTAATTCACAATACTTGCAAAGACTTGTGGGGATAATTCAAAGTTATCTATAGTATGACTTTAAATAAAGTGAAAACAATAATAACGTGTGATGAGCGTGTTCTGAGTGCCAGTGTCCTAATGGGTTAAAATGTGCTCTCAGTTCTTATAAAACCCCTCTGTGGTAAGAGTTCTTATTGCCATTTTGAAGAAAGAAAAACTGGATGATCTGGAAGAATTAAGCAACTCACTCAAGAGTAATGCAAGTTTTATAGAAGGGATTCAAAACAAACTGTCTGGCTCACAGCAGACACCAACCACTCTGCTCTGTGTCTCTCCCTTGACAGGGAAAGGCTGGTTTCCCTTCCTTTGCTTTGTACCTACGATACATATATACATGTCTTCATTGCAGTGAGATGCACACATTGCTCTTAGGTCCTCTTTCCAGATCCAGCAGGATGCATCAGTGTCTCACTCACTCCCTGGATCAGAAATCTTTGCCCACCAGCACTTCCCTATTCATAACCTTCATCAAAAGTGGCCCTGCCCTCTTCTCTTCTTACCCATGCCCCCTTTCCTTGAGGCTCTCTTAAGTCCTCTAAAGGACTCAGCCAAGAGTGACTTCCCCCTGTGACTCCCATTGCCTTTGTGGGTGGGGAGGGGAGGGGCTCTGTATCACAATTTCCAAAGGTCTTCTTTGATGTGCTTTCCTGGACTCTAAGCAAGATCCACTGAATTAATTAAAGAATATTCCTCAAGAAGAAAGGCACTTAAAAGAAATGAAAAAGGTGCAGGAAGGCAGGTGAACAAATAGATAGTTTTATACCACACCTCAGACCACCCCCACCCCATCTAATGCAGACATTTGGTAGCCACGCTCCCGTCCTCTCATTTGCCAGCCACCATAGGCTCCCATGCATCGTCATTTACCTGCTTTGCTACCATCCACCAATCACTTTCACCTTCACAAATGGCTTGTGTTCTCTTTTGTGATAGAATCTTTGTATTTCCAGAGTCACGCTCTGTAAGGCAGAACGGGAACTACACAAATGTTTGTTATTGATGACAAGGGCCATGCTGTAATTCTGAAACAGGCTCTCCCCTTTGAAGAAAGGAAAGTATGTGCTAAGGTAGATTTATCATTCTTAGGAAGTTCAAAGATTAATCCAAAGTGCCTGAGTTGAGACAGACTCCACTAGCAAACAGGCCTTGTTAAGGCAGAGGTGTCAGAGCAGACGGCCCTGGTTAAAACTGAATCCTTTTCATCCCCAAGCTTCAGCTTCCTCATCCAAAGAGCAGTGGTGTCTATCTCTTATTACTGTCTGAGACTTAAAGGCATAAGTTGATAGACATGTCCAAATACATGTGTATACATGGATTTCACTCATGGTATCTAACAGAACACCACCCTGGTACTACAGAAAACCAAGAGTTCTTCATCCCAAGGGCATTATATTTTCATGGAAGGGAAATCAGGTCATAATCGTATAGCTTAATATATCTGATTATGATATTCATTTTGAAGTACAATGTAAGATACAGGGGAGAGTGGTGGGAAGAGAGTCTAAGTGCTCAAGGACATGGAGTATTCAGAACCCATAAGGCTTAATGTTTCCTGTTCTGAGAGCTCTTGGAAAACAAGTGGACAAAGTACTTCTGAGGCTCTGTGGATGGGTAGAAGTTTGTCCGTTTCACTTAGCTAATAGTCCTGAATGCTTTGGATGCTCTTACATGGGCTCTGCTATCTGTTCTTGGCAACGCTTTCAATATGCCACCTACTGGATCTGTAAAGCTGTAGCCAACTGCATGCTCCCGAAACTGTAGCATTGCGTATGGTCCACAACTGCTCATTATACAGCTGAGACATCCAGGACCGGAGGAGGAAAGTGGTCCATGGAAGGTCATCCCACAGATAAAGATAACACAGCTTGAGGCGTAAACTAGCCTTCTCTTCTCACATCCCCATGTATTTGCATCATAAATGCATGTACTAAGAAATCTGAAAACTATTCATTAGAACCCCAATAACTGGTGTTGAACTGAAGTAGAAGGGAACACCAGTCTGTGATACAGAAACATGCCACAGATGAGCATGTGCTGAAGTTGCATAGACAGGATCCAGGCCAAGCACTGACAATGTGTCTCCTTGGAATTAAACAGAGATCACAAAATACAAGCCTCCATCCATCCCTTCTGTGAAAGAAAGCAGGCAAAAGAAACAATTCTACAGGGCCCTTACAAGCCTATCTTTCCATCCACTTTGTAGTAACACATATGCTCACAATAAAGGGAATGATATTTGTAGAAAAATCCAGTGGAATTAAGAAACACTTTGATTGATTCAAACTTGCTGGGAATGCTTGTGTGCTGACACTCCTATCATCCCAGAACTCTGGAGGCAGACACAGGAGGATTTCTGTGAGTTGAAGTTGGCCTGGGTTGGTCACATAGTAAGTTTTAGGCCAGCCTGAGTTACAGAGTGAGGCTTTGTCTCAAAAAGCATTTCCAAATGGTAGTAAATAAGAATAATATTCCATATACCCCATGCTTTTTGTGACAAGGCATAAGGATATGTGTGCAACAATCTAGCTGAAATCACAGCATGTGGCTGCAAATTTCCTTCTGTCCCTTCAAGGACAAGTTAGCACTTAACTTCCAGCCTCCCCTTCTGGGACTTTCAGGTTATTCCAAATGTCATTCAGACCGCTCTGCCTGATAACTGGGATTTGGGCAGATGACAGCCTATCTTATTTCCTACTTGTGCAATGTTGTGCAGCAACCCAATTCAACCTTCCCAAGTGGGTGCCTTGATTGGCTGACCAGCTTCCTCCAGTGCTTTAAACAAGTGAGCAGACACAGGATTGTGCTCAGACAGCCCAGAGCACAGCAGCTGCTGCTCAAGCTACGACTGTAGCTGTGTCTTGGGTCAGATCCCCAGCTCCCACCCCAAGTAAGAGTGCTCAGGCTCCTGAATTCAGGAGATTCACTACAAAATGCTGAGTATATGGGGAATACTTGATGAAAGCCCAGTCTGGCCGAGTTGACAACTGAATGGCAAAGCATCTCTAAAACATCAGTGGGTCCCACAGCGAGCCCTAGAATTAAGATGGGTCCTCAAAGCTGTATTGAAATACAGCAAGGAAGCATGCCCCTACATAAGCAGTCATTGGGTGTGGTTGACCCCTGGTGGAGCCGGATTATGTAAGTCAGCCTAGGGCAGGTCTCAGAGTACAACACAGTTATGAGCCATCTCAGCTGTGAGTGGGTTTCAGCCGAGTTGCAGTGGGGTTTATAAATATGATTGAGCATCACAATCATCTAGAAGTTTTTTAAACCACATATTGATAATTTGCACCCTAAGAATGTTTGCTTCATTGACTCTGGGCACAAATCAGTTAGTAGTGAACTTGTCTACCAGACACAAAGCCCTAGGTTTGATCCCCAGCACTCCATGAGATCACATATGGGTGGCACACAATTGCAATTGCTGAACTGGAGCTGAAATAGAGACAGGAAGTAAAGGCAAAAGGATCAGAAGTTCAGGTTCATCCTTGGCTGCATGAGTCACAGGAGACCATGGCTGAAAGCTGGGGAAGGAGGTGATTCACCATCTGAGGACCAGAGCTTAAGAACTGGTATCTCTAACAATGTCCCCCAGTGGTGCTGATGTTGGTAGACCCAGAAGGACCCTAAACATCCCTGTTCTAGAGCCAGTGTTGAGAACTGAAAAGCCTTGCTCAGCCTCAACAGACTGCACTATGTGTGGCTTCCTCTCCCATAGCCTTTCCCTTTATCTCTAGAAGAAAATTCCAAAAGCTTCTAAGGGAATTGAGAGAGCTCACCCAAACTGTTGGCTGCTTTTTCCTGAAGGTGAAATTTCGAGCTATGTGAAGAACAGGGAGCCTCTGAACACAGGAGTCTAAGCTGTTTGATTGCAAAGAGGAAAGGGTGTAGGAAGCCGGGGCATGCTGACAAGCCCCATAACGTTTCAAAGGCACAGCATCCTCAATCCTCCTTATGAATCTTGACCTTGAACATCAGCAGGCATCTAAGTTTTCACCTGATAGCATTAACTCACTCGAGCTATTTTTTTTTTCTAAGCAATCAAGCAATTGCTGTTTCCTTGGGAAACAGTTTCCTGTGGGGAAAATTTAATGTATTGCCTTTGCAGGTTGGAGCCAGTACAATCATATTCTGACGGTTTATCAAATTGATTTGGCTATAGCTCAGATTCATTTGATAGTTCAGATTCAAACACTGAGTTATTTGTATAAGAATGATTCTCTTCCATTACCAGTGTACCCACAGTCCTATAGATAGTAAATTGCCTTTTTATCCCGCCTGGGATCATGAAAGAGCGGTCTTCTAGCCATCTGTCAATGTAGAACACACCAGAAATGTGCTCTCACTTATAGAAATGATTGACCTGTAATAATGTCTTTGCTGGGAAAAAATAGAAATTGTTCAAATGAAATTTGCGGCAGTGGCTCTAACAGATTTTATTAAAGAGGCACAGAGCACTATTTAACTCCTGCCTCTCCTATCCCCATGCCACTCTGTAACTCAGTGCCAAGAATCATAGCACTGATGAAACAATTTAGGATTACTAAATCTCTGAGGACCCAGCCATGAGCCTGTAGTGTCTCTCTTGGTACTTTGATGGGTATAAAATTTCAAAATCATACATTGCCAAAATATGGCATGTGTTGAAATATTTAACCAAGATGGTACTTTAAGGTGGGAAACAATAGTCGTTCAACTGAACCATACTAAAAGACAAGGATTAGACAAAGCAGCCACAGCTCCTGCCACCTTGTCCAGCCACCAGGAACAAAGGTAGACCTTTCTGTTATTTTTTCTCTTTTCTTTAGGCATTCCTTCTTTCAACCAGCTCTGCTACTGACATGGATGCTCTATTCTCTGAACAATTTTTCATTCTCCTCTCCTTTGGGATCTTCCTTTTCCTCTCAAATGTAGAAGGTTCACAGGCAGCAGTCCAGGTCCTATTCTTTACGTTCAAAGATCTGCCCATGGAATGAGAGGGAAGCCTTAAGGTTGATCAGGGACAATTTAAACTTGGGTAATAGTTATTTGTCAAGGACATTTCCCAAAAGCAAGCAATATAAAACTGAAGACCCGTTATTTTGCTTAGTTATGTCTTCAAACTTGAGTTTGGAACATGTATTTAATTCAGATTAGTTTTAGATATCCAGTGAAATGAACTTTTATATTCCAAAGAATATTGTCCTATTATTTAATATAGTTGTTGGTAGATTAAAGATGATTGCAAATTCTTTAACTGTCTTTCTATGAACCATCTATTTGTCCTTATGTGGAATCTAAGCTGAATTGTGAGGCTTTGAGGCAACAGAATATGAAAGTGTTGCTACTTGAATTCTGGACACAGATTCTAAGAGCATCATTAGCTTCAACACTGGTTTTGGACAGTCCAGGACTGCCATCAAAGAGCTCTGAATGTCCAGGGGCAGTTCGTGTGTCTAACCTTCAGATGCTGCCATATGACATTGTTACCTGCAAATTTCACATGCAAAACTACACAACTAAGCTTTTAAAAATCATACACAAAGTGCTATAATGTTTTGAATAAGTTTATATACATTTCTATCAGCAGGGACAAAGTAAGAAGTAAATCTTGTTCAATGTTGTTTGAGACATAACTATTTCCATTTTTGCCCTGTTCTACTACTACATCACACACACACACACACACACACACACACACACACACACACACACAGGCACACACACAATTTCCTGACTATGATTTTCCCAGGTAACTTAGAAATATGTTGTTTGATTTTATAATTTCTTTATTAAAATGTTCTTCACTTCTCCATGACAATCAGCTGTGGACTGGAAACAGACACCAGTTTTCAGGTCTTCATGACGCAGGCATGTGCAATTGTGACTAAAGTGGCTGACTTTAGCTCTTACTGGGGGAGCTGAGGGATGCCCAGGGATCTGGGAAAGCATTATTTCTGAACATCTGTGGGATATTCCAGAAGACTGCACTTGATTCAGTGGAATATAGGGGAATATTTTCCTTAATCAATATGTGTGGGCATCATCCAGCTGACTGGTGTCTTGACTTGAGCAAATAAAAGAAGACAAATTCACACTGTCTCTCATTTCTGGAGGTAGTACACCCTTCTTTTTCTACCCCCATATAGCAAAAATCCAGGTTCAACAGCCTTTGGACTTGTACCAGTAACTCCTTGGGCCCTCTGAAGGCTGAGGACTCTAACTTGGACTATGCCATACTGCCACGTTCTTTGGTCCTCTCTGCTGAAGATGGCCTATGGTGGACTGCTCAGCTTTCACACTCACGTGAACTAACTCCCGTGATGAATCTCATCTCCTGTATCTCTACATCTCACTATGTTATAGGTTATGTGTCTCTGGAGAGTTGTGATTAATGCAATCACTATGTGCTTAGGGACATTTTAGTTAATATTTCAAGATAGCTCAGAATACAAAGCAAAACACAGTGAGGGTTATTCTGAGCAATCATGTTTTAAAGAATACAGGGACCACGGGATGGGATTTAGAACTCTGAGCTTTGAAAACCAGACAGAAATATAAAATTTATATAAGAAGGAAAAATGACTCATTGAAATCCGGAGACTTTTAGTCTTGAGTACTTGGAGACCTTCACATAGTATGCATTCAATAAATTGTATATTAAATGAACTGTAAAGAAAAGGGATTAAAGATAGAAAGGAGGTGGAGTGGCTATTACTAAATCAGGTCTGGACTGATAAACTGTCTTTTCATACTGTTGCTTCACTGGTCACAGTCATCATGCTGTCCTTATCGTGGCCCATGCCTGTAACCTCATAGTTGAGTGGCTGACTCAGGAGGACCACTGGAATTTCAATGGTAGCCTGGCTTATATCGTGGGTTCCAGGCCAGTCTGGAACAGAAGCTGGGACACTCTGAAACAATGAGCAGAAATGGTAAGCTGGCCAGCACATCTGACTTACTTAGCAACAGAGTCAAAGTTCTTTGGTTTATGCACCAGACTTGCATCTGCAAGGACCCCGGATCTAAAAAAATTATAGCTCAAAGATGAAGACTAGAAATCATACCTGGAACACCTGAACTTGTTCCTTATAAGCAATAATAATGAGGAAGTGAGAAGTGTTGACCATTAGGGTTGTATATGTAGGGCACCAAGAAGTCTTTCTTTCTAAGGTTGAATAGAGGATTGAAAGACAGGAGTCAAGGATGCCATCAAAATCTGTCTGTAACAAAATTGGAACATCTAACTTGCTGCAGGTGGATCAGGGTTGTTGTTGTTGTTTTAAAAATCAAGAGGTTAATTTTTAATGTCTAAAGCTGATTAAGTGGGCATGCAAGTAGAGATTGCAGTAAGGTGGATGATCTTAGAGAAGTAACTAGAATACAGCATTTTACTCCCAAGGCATGCCAGGCTCATGTACAGAGTGAGAGAAGACAGAAAAGAACACTGTAGGTAATGAGTCCTTGGGTGTCCCAACATGTGATGGTCAGGAGGACCCGGAAAAAAGAGCAGCCTCAGAGTTAAGAGGCAAATATTCGTAGATATGGAGGAAATCATGAGGAAGATAGTTTTAAATTCATGTGGAGCTGAAAATAACCAAGAATATAAAAGCAAGAATTAAAAAAACAAGAAGCATTTAAGTCCAGAATCACAAATGGAGACCATGGTGTCCTTTCCTCCATGATAATAGAATTGGGGAAGGTTGGGGGTGTCAGTAAGTATAGAGGATTAGAATTGGAATAAGCAAATTTGATTTAATTGGCAAGAGGGAAATTTTAACATAGTTAAGTACTACCTAAAGGCAATTACTAAAGGTTTTGAAGATGTCAGTCTATCTGACTATCTTATAGGGAATCAGAGGCCTGGAGATTATCAGGGATAGATAGCCACTTCTGAGCTCAGGACTCAAAGAGCAAGTGAGATGTAGACATTCTGTAGTCAAAGAACTAGAGAAAGTTAAAGAACTAGATCTTAACCAGATCTGTTCAGTAGTGTCTGGAGGAAATGCAGATGCTGCCAGAGGCAAGAAGGGGTAAAAGGATATGCTCTCTTGCCATTCCCAGCCCTCCCACCCACAGTTAAGAAGATGATTATGAAAAATAGACCTGGCGGGGTTATCCCTCCTGCAATGCAGAGAGGAGCACAGATAACGAAATGAAATAGATATAATATAAACCAGGCAGGGGACAGGTGTACCATACACAATGATTGGTCCTTTGTCATAAGAACCATGGGAATTTGTTGAAGAACTTGAGGTCATAATTTGATTGGCATGGTAAAAATTTTAGTTCAAGTTGTGGTTAGAAGATTGTATTGAAAAGGGAAGTAGATGACCATGGAAGAAGTTATAGGTCCATTTCATCTGTCCATGCAAAGTCTCAAGTAACAAAAACAAATTAAAGGCTGGTTGAGATGATAGACTGTGTCCAAGTGAAGAAGGAGAGAAAATCAAAGATACAGGTCTCTATCTTGAATAACAGGGAAAGAACACAGGAGGAACATACTGAAATAAAGAATACCAATTCATACCAGACCCATGGTAACTTAGTCAGAGACACTCTTTCAAAGTGTGAGCATGCACATGTGTGAGCATCAAAGTGTGTGATACTTATGTCTATTAAGTATTGCCTGCATATTCCTTCACTGTGGGTAGGTATGATTTCTGTCCTCTCACTTTAGAGCTGAGGAAATCAAGACATAGAAAACACAGTTTAACCAGGGTCACAGATCTAATAGGCACAGGGGCAGGCTATGTCTGCCATGAAAGTCAACCTCATGTCCCCTACCTTCCTGCCCCCTGGACATCAGGCTGAGGCTGCCTCTACTGACTACCAGACTCCTCTTTGCTGTATGACATGCCCCCTTCTTATCATTTTCTATGGCTCAGGGCACAGATACTTTTTTAAAAAAAAAAAATCTTTTCTCATTTTACATACTAATCCCAGTTCTCTCTCCCTTTCCTCCTTCCACTCTTCCCACCTCACATTTCAACCACCTCACCGCTCCATCCACTCTTCAGAGAGGGTAAGGCTTCCCATGGGGAGTCAACAGAGTCTGCAGGCCACAGATTCTACCACAGTTCACTAGAAATAGTTTTATAGCTGGCCTCACCGTGGAGAAAAATGGTCTCGGTCAGGCACAAATGATATACAGAAGAGAGATAACTGATTCTACTCACCAGCAAGGATTGTGCCCAAACCAACCAGAATGCAGGTCTATCCAGTTATTAGGGCAGCCTGTTAGCTAAATCCTCCCATCAGGAGCAATAGGATCAGGATTCTTCCTATGCAAGCCAAACGTCTTTTTAAACTGAATATTGACAGGGCCCAGGTATGATGCTAAGCTGTAGTCTCCTTTCTCACCCATTTAAAAACAAACAAACAAAAATCATGTTACTAGAATGTCTACTAGTTTGTCTATTATCTGAAAGCAGAAAACCTTTGAACCAAGGTGATTGGGGTATTTTATTTTCTCCTTATAGAGACATCTCAAGGACAAAGGTCCATTCCCTGCCCAGCCATGGCTTAGAAAATCTGAAGAAGCTGAGGGCCAGATCCACTTACAGTCTGAAGAAGCTTCCTAGTCTGGAAAAGTTTGTCACCCTTGTGGAGGCCAGCCTTACCTACCCCAGCCACTGCTGTGCCTTCGCACACTGGAGACGGCAAATGTGAGTCCTTCTATGTCTGCCCTGAAGTCTGGCATGGGCATCCCCGCAGTGTAGAACTTGTACACGCTGGTGGCATGAAAATCCACACACAGGGAAAGTTCCTGAAGGAAGGCCTGAGGCGTGTTCTGGGTCAAAGAGTCAGTTTGTAGAGGGTGAGAGTGGCTGGGTTCACAGTTCTTTGAGAAGTAATCTCAGAGGAGAGAGTGAGTCACAAGGTGGAGCATCCACCAACATTAAATGATAAAACATAAGAAACTTCAAGCATGGTCTCTGACTCAGACTGATACTTAACCCCCTGTCCTTTCCTTGGTATCAATATGAATTTTTCTTTCCCGTGTCAAACTCTATACATCATAAATATCCCCATCCCATAAAATAACTAAATGCTCGTCCTACTCACATCAAAGTCAGCAAGGGAGGAGAGATGCAAAAATGCCTTCCATAGAGTGTGTCTGGTGTGTGCACACTCCATAGAGTGCGTGCACACCTATAACTTCCATAGAGTGCATACACACCTGTAACTTCTCCCAAGCCCAGTAAGCCACTCAGATCCACCGCAGACTTCAGCAACTCAGAGAGAGAGCAAAGTTTAAGACATCTCTTAACTTTGGCCTTGACAGAGGCTCACACCTAAACAGAATAACCAAAGCAGAGCCAGGTCCGAGTGGCAACTCTTTCAAAGGTTGCAGTGATCATAGGCAGGATCTGGAAAGGAAAGAGATGTCCGTTTTGGGGAGAAAGTCCATAAGCTCCAGACCTTAAAAGGGTCTATTGGAGGAAAGACATGAGCACACCTCTCATTTTCCCCTAACCTCACCAACAGGAGCCACTCTGCCCAGTCTCACTCAGCTGGATGAAGCCTTTCCAGTGTCCTTACATGGTAGCCCAGCGCCGAGGCAGCTCCCAAGCTGTGCTATTTTACCATTTAGTGCACTCTCCTCAGTTAGCAGATACTAAGCAGCAACAGCCAATTCACTTGCTCAAAACAAAAGAAAGGCAAGAAAAAGAGCATCAAGACAGTCCACACCCTGCAGTGCTCCCGAAGTAATGGAAAGTACCTAGCCCCTCATAAAGGACCATCGAGAAGGGGCTGCTTCTTAGAATTAGTGTACATCACCGAGAAACTGTAGCACAACACTTTCTCTATGCACTACGGTACTGCTTGTGAGTCTGACAAGAAGCTGGAGACTGAGACACACAGACAGAGACGGGTCATCCTCGTATCAGGAATGCCCACTTTATTGTGTTCCAGGGCAGCTTCTATGAGGTCTCCTTGACTAATGACCACACCCCAACTCTCAGCTCTAAGCACACCAGAAACCATACCCCTGCCATCAGGGAGGGTCTCGCCCTCAGAGCAGCTGCAAGCACAGGAAAACAAGTTGTTGGCTCAGAGCAGCTGCAGGCATAGGAAAACAAGTTGTTTACAGGAAATTCAGGGTCTGGGGGTCCACAGTTCCCAACAGAAAACTATCCAGGTTTAGGGACAACCCATAGACGGACCTAACAGCTGGAGGATTTCTTCCCAACAGTTACAGTTCCCAAGGGCCTTAGTGGAGGCAAATGGCTTGCCTCATTCACATCCAGACAAGAATTCTTCTAGCCAATTTACTGCAAAAGCCCTACAACAGAGAACCCTCAGGAGAAATCTCAAAAAATATTAAGATCACTATAAGAGTGGCTGCTGTATGCCCTATGGTCCTATGCCAGTGAGCCACAGGAAAGACTCTCTTACTTTGTTGCTAAGAGATCTCTGACTTTGTCACATTCTGGTTATCTGGACATGGCTTTAAGATTCTAAACCAGAAATCTCAAGTTTGCCTTAGGTGTTCCATGCCATAAAGCTTTCTCTGGTCCCTCCAGGTCATTTGGTGTTTGTGCCTCCTGGGTCCCTGTTATAATTTTCATTAGTGGCCTGTAGGTCTCCCATCATGTACCAAAACATAGGTGTTTGTTTCCTTTGTTTTTTTTTTTCACCTAATGGATTCACATGTGTGCACGCATGCATGCATGCTCGCGCGCACACACAGACACACACACACACAAAGATAATGGCTGGCAGAATTTTTCCTAAAATAGTGTCATTTCATTACTTATGTGAACAGAGGTTTGCTAATAAGATTTGTCTCCTAAACTGTTTTATGAAACTGTACTTCTTGTCCTGGTTGGGAAATAATGCCCACTATATAAATACAAGCCCCATGATCCCATGGGGTTTGGGCTAACTGTCCCCCTGGACTCTTGTTGAAATGCTGGGTCGGCCATATCCCTTAATTGTCATTGAGTCAGCTATTTCCTATACACAGCTAACTTTGTTTTGTTTCTCTTTTCTTTAAGTTTTCTTGTCTATAGGCCATTTCCTCACAACTGTATGTTAACCAATGCACCATGACACATCCTTCCGGGTACCCAACATGACATCAGTGAGCACCATCAGCTGTTCTGCACACTGCTGGCAGAGCAGAGCGCTCCCTGCCACCCATGAGATCACATTTCTTCTTTACTGCTGGTACTGCAGAGGTGAATCATCATTATCAGCATGATTCCCTTCTGCGACAGGCAGAGACTAGGGCCCAGACCTACTGATAGCTGCATCATCATTGACCAAAGGAAGCTCCAAAGCTTCAGCTCTGCCTGCTTCCATAGCTCAGGCCCTGGGGTACCCTCTGATGCCATCTACATAGCATCTGTCCATCAATGGCTGGACTCCTCAAGTTCCACTTTTAAACTGTCCCTGTGCTAACTCCCCTTTCCTTATTCTACTGAGGATCTATTTGCCGAGACACTGCAAGGCAACACTTATTTTCTTTAGCTCAGTCTATGGCACTGGACACACATGCTCGCATCCTGTAGAAGCAAATGAGAGCTGCTCCTCCCCCAGCCACCAGCCTCTTCATGTTATCTAGATGGACATAAGTGCCTCTAGTCAGTGGTTGCCTTCTGTTTCAAGAAAAGGAGAGCTCACTCTTAAGTAGGTCGGTGGTAGCATCAGTGATGAGAGTTTTCTTGACTGAAGCCAGTAACCCCAGAAGAGGAGATATTCTCTACATATTGAAGTCAGCTCCTAGTCCCTGAACCAGATGCAATTCTCAAGCACCAGAGAAGTTACCTTCTGCTCCCAAGGCTGGATTGCGACTAACCCAGAGATGGGATTCAAACTCAGCACCACAGAATGGGCCCCTGTCCCCTCCACACCTGTCTCCCCTTACTTTAGCTCACCAACTAAACTTGATGATTTCCTGGATTCCCGTTCCAGCCATTTTCAGTTTTGTGTGTTAACTGTCCTTATTAGTGTTGCTAGGACAGAACTGAAAAATCTTTTCCGGTTTCTAAAATAAAAGATGATACTCCAGAAATAAAGTAAGAAAGAAAAACAGAATCTCTAAAGTCAAGATAAAGGACTTCTGGCCATTTTGTTCATTTTCCATTGGTGAGAGAAAAGAGAGCAGGGTTCTCCATGACTTCCCTTCTCACTGGGCAGAGGAGGAGGGGAAAACTCAGTCTATGGTACTGGACACACGGCTCCTCCCGCCCTCCCCAGCCACCTGCCTCTTCGTATTGGGGCTTTTGAGGGACTTGAATGCTCTTTCTTTCTTTCCTGTTGGTCTGAGATTGTGTTAAATTTGAGAAAATGCTAATTTAACATTTCTGTGACCTTTCCCCTTGAGCAGGAAAGGAAGAGTAAAGATATATATTTGAAGGAAAAAGATACATTTGATTTCATTTTTTCATCAAGAATTCTCCCTGTATAAAAAAGTCACACTGGTTAAGTCTTTATATTACAGAAGTATCTCTTCTCTCTACATGAGAGTCTGAGTAGATAATTATGCATACATTTGTAGGTTGAATATTTACCACCCGGGTTTCATTCAATTCTTTCTGAAAGTGCCTCTATCCTGCTGACAAGATCTATTATATATTTGGGCTTACAGGGGAAATAAAAGACAGGAGAGTGCTCTGAGAGGACTCGGTGGCTCCTGGGATATGTAACAGCCTGCCAACAAACTAGGCTCCTTTAAAGCCTGCATTTGCTTCTCTGGCCGCCCACAGGGGAACTATTTCATATAACAGAACTCGGCTTATTTTGCAGGGCAAATGAATGCCTGAGACCTATTGTCACCTCTGGGGAGTGAGACGATAAAGCCCAAGATCCTGGTAGCATTTCAGGAAAATTAGCTGGCCTCTCAACAGCCTGAGCACCCAAGAGCCAAAGGATGGGGCTGCACACTCATGCTCTGGTTTGTGCAGATAACATGAGCAAAGAAACTCTCGTTCGTGTCAGAGAACAGAATCTCCCAGTGGTTAGAGAAATGGGAGTACATCCACCCAGGCATGCTAGAAGATGCCTGCATGGAGGTGGGCAGGAGTGGAGTGGAGATAATATCAAGTCTGTAAATTATTTGTACTTAACAGCCAGGGTTAGCCCCAGGCGCCTTCCTTCCCACATACAGGTTGTGGCCAGATGGTTTCCCCCATGGGCCATCCAGCCCAAGGATTATATATATATATACACATTCTTCTCTTCATTTACAGTAAGCAGCATTAACCCATGAGTCAGCCTCAAGGGCAGACAAGATGTTGAGAAGTAAAGCAATCTCAAGAAGGAAGCCTATTATTTCTACTCTGTACAAAGATGGCAATATAGTTGCCATTTTGAACCCAGGATGTTGATTCTATTCCTTTTTGTGTTTTTCTAGCTCTGAACTTCATCCGATTTGTAACAAATCTATTTTAAGGCAAGATACTGATTATGTGACTCAGGCTAGGGAACAGGGCATCTCTCTGATAGACGATGACCCCAGTTATGGAAAAGAATCCGACATGATGTATAGTGAATTTGACTACGACTTATGTAATGAAGTCGTTGATGTGACCTGCTCTCCAAAGCCAGATGCATTCAATCCATGTGAAGATATCATGGGGTACAACATCCTCAGAGTCTTGATATGGTTTATTAGCATCCTGGCCATCACTGGGAACATCACAGTGCTGGTGATCCTAACCACCAGCCAATACAAACTCACCGTGCCCAGGTTCCTGATGTGTAACCTCGCCTTCGCTGATCTCTGCATTGGAATCTACTTGTTATTCATAGCATCCGTTGATATCCATACCAAGAGCCAGTACCACAATTATGCCATTGACTGGCAAACAGGAGCTGGCTGTGATGCCGCTGGCTTTTTCACCGTCTTTGCCAGTGAACTATCGGTCTACACACTGACAGCCATCACCCTGGAAAGGTGGCACACCATCACTCATGCCATGCAACTGGAACGCAAGGTGCAGCTCCGCCATGCTGCCAGCGTCATGGTGATGGGCTGGATCTTTGCCTTCGCAGCTGCTCTCCTCCCCATCTTCGGAATCAGTAGCTACATGAAAGTGAGCATCTGCCTACCCATGGATATTGACAGCCCTTTGTCGCAGCTGTATGTGATGGCCCTGCTTGTCCTCAATGTTCTGGCATTTATAGTCATCTGTGGCTGTTATACCCACATCTACCTCACAGTCAGGAACCCTAACATTGTGGCCTCATCAAGTGACACCAAGATTGCCAAACGCATGGCTACACTCATCTTCACTGACTTTCTCTGCATGGCTCCCATTTCTTTCTTTGCCATTTCTGCCTCCCTCAAGGTGCCCCTCATCACTGTGTCCAAGGCCAAGATCCTCCTCGTTCTGTTCTATCCCATCAATTCCTGTGCCAACCCTTTCCTTTATGCCATCTTCACCAAGAACTTCCGCAGGGATTTCTTCATCCTGATGAGCAAGTTTGGCTGTTATGAAATGCAAGCCCAGATTTATAGGACAGAAACCTCTTCCACTGCCCACAACTTCCAGGCAAGGAAGGGCCATTGCCCCTCAGCTCCCAGAGTCACCAATAACTCCAGTTACATGCTTGTTCCTCTAAGTCATTCGGCCCGGCAATAAAATACAATGTGAAAATGGATCATCACCTTGAATGGCAATGACTTCTTTCTGAAGAGTGGGCCAAGGAAGAGCTGGCAGTGTTTCTATACTTGCATCTAATTTCATCTTCCTGGCTCTGTGCATGGCAAATTGATCAGGAACTTAACTCACGTGACTCTTTTAAGAACTGCATTATTGGTAACAGCAATTAAAGTAAATTCATACTGCAGCACGCTTGTTTCCTGCTTCTGTTTGGATTGTCTCAATTGATTTTGTAAAAATCATGTTCAGGAGGCTAAGTGGGGACTTGTACTGGAATTTTACAGTGAGGAAAACAAGACTCTCAATAACTTATCTGAAACTGCTTGATGTATTAGAAACAAAGCCAGGATGAGGCAATCCGACTCTTCTGGAATCTCCAAGAGAAACGCCGCAGTGTCGTGCAAATATTTATTGAATGCCATGACAGCTTTGTAATGGGTCAGTGTGTATGGGCTCGACTACATCATCCAGAAACCCTTCCTTGGGAGTTTTGAGTTAGGGTGGGCCACCCAGAGAATTCTTAGGAAGACATAACGTCAAAAAAAAAAAAAAAAAAAAAAAAGCAGCTGTACTGTGGTCAACACTCCATTGCTGAAACTAATTCCACCAAACTGTCAAGGCCTCATGGTGGGGGATCACTCGACTTTTCCCTGGATCCTCCCTTGAACTCTTTGAGTGAGTTCTGGGCCACCTGTGTGTTTTCAGTAGCATAATGAAGGATGGACATCTATAGGATATTTTATCACCAAGGTCACAAGCAACAAGAATAGAAACTGGGTTCAGTTTGTTTCCCTGGGGCTATACCCTGTGTCTGTTGAGTGTATGCTCACGATCTTTCCTTTATGAGGACGTACACCCTGAGGACACTGAGCTCCAGCATCAGATGTAAGGACAGCATCCTTCCGCACCCAGCTTAGGCAGCGTCCCAAATGTGGAAGAGACAATTCCCCGTAACAAATATTTACCACCTACACATATTTGCATTCATACATATGTATGATTGCTTCTGCTGCTCTGGCTGAACGTTTTCTAATGGAAAATACACCTATTATATGGCATGCATATAGATTACAATGTTAAGGACACAGCAGCTTTGAAATCAGAGTGAAGATTTTATTCAGATTCTGTGATAAGCCGGGACCCAAGGTCTTCAGGCTCAGCTCCTTCCCCTACAAATGCACTAGCTGTATCTCGAACCTCTAGTCAACAGTGAGGAGGAAGGAAGCACTTACAAAGCGCCTCTTGCTGCAGCAACTTTAACATCTATTGGTTTGCTTCTTGCCTATTTGACCAGTTCCTAAGCGTAACCAGCTCCCCTAGCCCTCAGTCTACAATTCCTTCTGTCACCATCTAAGGTCTTGATGGGGTTCGTTTCCTCTACCCCTGAAAGAATAAAAAGGACAGGAAAAATCTTTAGTACTACAGGTAGTGACAGAGGAAGTCTTAGACACAGCAGAGTCAGTCTGTGGAGAAAGGCTTTTAGTGGGGGGGGGGGGGGGACATACACAGCAAACATATGAGAGAAAGACCCTCTGTGGAGGAGAGGAGACACTCAGAAGCCTGAGGTTTGGTGTGTCCTTGGGCCAGGGAGTTGAAGGATCTTTGAGAGGTTTTTCTTCCCTAACTTATGGTTGATTTATTTGAACCTAAAGACAGAGTGGCTAACAGACCCACAACTTGGGAATAAGCATATCTTGATCCCACCTTGAACTTGTCTAGTGTCAGGAGAAAAATCCACCAGGGCTTGACGCCTTTGTTTCCCGTTAGGAACATGATGAAGAAGCTGGAAGTTTGCCATCTTTATTATCTATCCGTAGCACCTTTTCCTGTCTGTCTGTCTGTCTGTCTGGTGATCTGTCTAACTCCTAGCTCTTGCAGTATATTGTACTACAGCAGTTCTGAAAACTGAGCATGCTACCCACACCTGTCCACAGAAATGAGCCTACTGGAGTAACTAGACCATACAGAACCACCACAAATCCCTCCAAGCACTGTGCAGGTCCACCAAGGTCTGAGCACCATGAATAGCTGGACATGGCAGGGGGAGTAGCCTCTAAGGAATAAAACTGTGCTGTCCATGTGAGGTCACTGCCTGGCTGCCTTCTTGTGCCCAGGAAGAAAGGACCTTGTTACTCCTCCCAGTCATCACTCCTCTCCCCTTCCCTCCCCTCCTCTCCTCTCCTCTCCTCTCCCATCTATGGATTCTCCCATCAGCAATCCGGTCTTCTCTTCTTAGACCAGTTGCACATGGTCCCTTAGGATTTCCCAATTTAGATTAATGGTGTAAAATGTTCCTGTCTCTCCCTCCTTCCTGGGCTCCACTTCTGCAGAAGCCAATTGTTGCTTTTCTTCTCGATTCTTTCTCAAATAGGTTTGTTTTTCCTACTCCCTAAACCTCTGAGCCAGAGTGAGTGGGGTTTATACTTCTAACCCCTGAGTGCCCAGCCTCCCCCTGTTGAGTTTTTGGTCTGTGGTGGCACCTGGGCTGGAGATGACATTGCCCTGTCTTGGTTTTTATAGATGTCTTTTTCAAGTTTGAACCTCCAGGTCAAGAATCTTCCATGTCTCTTTGATTTGGCAAGCAAGGATCAGGCGTTGGAGTGGGCAGGAGGAATGTAATGCGAAAAACCTTTCGTCTCTTTTTTTAACCAGTGTTGTAGATAACTTTCAATAGCCAAACTCCCATTTGTACTTTGGATTGCTTTGTTTTGCTTTGTTTCCTGCTAAAATCATTCTCTTACACACAGATTTGCTGTAACATTTGGAAAAGGAATAAATGTCCTTTAAAAAGAAAAAAATATTTGCCAAACAGCAAGAGGGGGACAAATTGCCTACCACACTATCAAGGATCCTCAGAGCTTTGAGAACTGTGAACAGTGTTTATAAAAATTTGAAAGCCTTTGTGAAAGAAAATTTCTTCTTCTCAGGGATCTTCTTGAGGAACCCTCCTTGGCTAAGGTGGTGCTGACTCAGTGGTTCCGCTGCCACCTTTGGGGTGCTGACCTTATACATTGGCCTTCTCAAGGGTGTACTGGGAGCCTTGTAGCTCTGACTGCCCATGGTGGGGTCTACTAGAGAAAGCTGCCCCCGAGATTCCTTGGAAGGGATAGTTCAGTGAGGACGGCCCAGCATCTTGAGGGAAGGAGCTGAGCCCCAGTGCTAGGGAGGCAAAGCCAATTGCACTCCTGCTCTGCAGCTACCCCTCAACCCCCTGCGTGCAAGAATGCCAACAATTTAATGGTTGTTCCTAAATGCATTAACAAGGACATCCTGTTGAAGCCAGGCAAAAATGCAAGTCACCTCTGTCCACGGCATCATTTCAATATATTGTGAGTGGAAAAAAATAAAAATTGAACAATCTTTCTTGCAAATATTTTAGAGCATGAAGAAAGAGACGAGGGGAGAGGCAGAGGGGAAGGGGCAGAGAGAGAAAGGGGCAGGAAGAAAAGAAAAGGAGAAGGGAGAAAGACAGGCATCCCACTTTCAAAACTAGAGTCTGCATCAGTAAGGTGGTTCTGAGGACAAAGGACTAAGCTAAGCCCTCCAGTTTTCCCCTCAACTCCATGTCTGAGACACAACTACACTAATATGTTCCGATTTTTGCTGTTATATTAAACACCACATGCACACACATACACATAGTCATCGCTATCATCCACATAATATCCAATGCAATCCTGGAAGTCTTCCCACAGTGTATATGTATCTAGACCGTTACTATCTAATTCAGCAGCCATAGCTGCATGTCACGACACAACACTCAAATGTGACCAACCTGAACTAAAATGACGGGAAAGTGTAAAATGCACTCTGACTTAGAAGGACGCAAACAAATAAAAGAGAGTACATGTGCTTGGACATATTGAGAAAAATAAAGCACAAAATTAAAAATTAATTTCAGCTATTTTTACTGTGGCTTCTATGAAATTTAAATATCCCATGTGGCTGGCTTTCAATTTCTGTGGGAGAAGTGATCTCAAACCCCAAGAAAGCATAGCTTTCTTCTTTCACCCTCCGGCCACTCCTTGACTCCTAACTTCCACAATTCTTACTCAGCACATCAGTTTGCTATGCAATGGGCTGTCCCAGCACTATTGACAATCATTATTCTTCCGTGCTTGTGGCCAGAGGCAGTATATTTCTGAATTTAGAATCAAAAGTAGAAGCTAAATTATAAATATGATGGAGGAATAATCACCTCACAGCATAGCTGCTAAGGACACGCTGGTTTAAGACTTGCTCTGACAGGCAAGAAGATGTTCAGAGATAAATATACAACACAAGACGCTCAGAAGATGCTCTGCCCATAACTGTCACCCGCAACACTAACTGCCATGAGATGGAACATATTCTGGGGTTACTAAGCTCAGGACTCTAAACCCTTAGACAAGTCTCAAGGTTAAAGAAACACTGCCTTCACTCCCTGCACTTTAACAGAACCGGGTAGAATCCAGATTACCATTCTTATGCTGTGAGGGGTTGTTCAGGCAGTGCTTCTGAAAATGTGCCTTGTCGGTGGGATTCAGTCCCAGGAATGGGTCCTGAACACACACATGTAATTCAGAGAACTTTCAGGTAGGGCTGAGACCATAACTCAAACAGGATGGGCTCAATAAAATTAGAGAGGTAATGGGGTCCCAAAATAATAAACTACAAGTTCCTTTCAGTTCATTTTTTTAACATCTTCTTTTGATTCTTAAATGCCATGAAAGGGATTAGTTGCTTCAAGAGATTTCTTAACATACCACATGCCCAGCATTGCCATTTAAAATAATAAAGAACTGGTACAGCCCAGGCGCTAACCTCTGAGGGTGGATACTGACTGCAAGCCTTCAGCTTGACATCCTGGCACACAATGGTGCAATGATGCCGGCTCTGCACGCTTCATTGCAGCCCTAATCTTACACTGGGACTGTTCATATCTTCAAATATGAACCCCATAAACATCCTTCAATCCCATCACTGCAGACCTCTATTTC